TCTCTCTCTCTCTCTCTCTCTCTCTCTCTCTCTCTCTCTCTCTCTCTCTCTCTCTCTCTCTCTCTCTCTATAAGATACATATTACAAAAGAAAAAAAATCAGACTTTTGGACACATACTCAGATAATATTCCTTGCGTGCAAATTTTGCATGTATTATACATATAAATCTTGTACGAGATTTGCTTGAGTTTTTTTCACGGAACATTTTTATCATGCTTATTGCCATGAGTGAATGTCGCGTGCAAAGTTTGTTGATTATTCGCTCTATAATGCACACAAACAAAATTTTGCATATGTTGTATATTTGGATAGCTTCTGGCTGTATATTTTTATCTATAATTTATTATTTAATTTATATATAAAATATATTTTTAGATACTCATTTTATCAACATTTTATATACTTTTAATTTGAAAATATAAATATGGTAATGAAGTGTAGCGTCAAGAAATGTAAAAGAAATAATAAAGATGACAAGGAACATTCTTTTTTTTAGTTTTCCAAGTGATCTTACCCTAACAGCACGCGACATACTGCGAATCATCCCATTTTCGTATTGCTTGTACTGTGATTATCTTAACGTACTGAGATGCACGCTAGAACGTCACTAACAGTATCATTCGGTTTTCTTTCGCGCGTGTATATTCTCAGGATTTACGCAGCGGTACATACTTTTTCATCGCACGTGTATATTCTTAAGTCATACTCAGAGATACGGAAATGATACGTACGCCTTTCTATCGCATGCGTATATTCTATAGACGTAATATTTGTCATGAAATATTATCGTCAGAGATATATTATCATTTAATCGTTACTTTTAAGCCATTTTTAATAAATAAATAATAAAATAACATAATTACTATCTTTTTTTAATTAACTAATTAATTATAATTACAAATAAAAAAAATATTTCGCATTTAATACAATTATTAACAAATTCATAAACAAATAAATAAAATATATATAACAATTTATAAATAATTTTCATAAGAAAAATGATTCTCATTAAACATAATATAGTCACGGCTTTATATATGTAATTAAGTTATCTATAAGAATTACATATGCAATCGAGATTTTAAAATTGATACTGTTTATATGACAATATTAACATTCGACTGTTTATATGACATTAGTAACATTCATTAACCAGATTTGTCATATTTTATGCCAAAATTCTGTATTCACTTATATCATCATTTCAGTAGCAGGTTTCATCCCAACATAGAAGTGAAGCAGCGTCGAGCCAGGATCCCAAGTTAGATGGGTGGTTGTTTAGAAATATGCGAGGGTACCAAGATGTTTCATCACTTTCTCTTATTTTTTTTTTAATTTTTTCATTTCTTTCACTTATTTTCCGTAAGGGATGTCACGTATATTATAGATATATATTATAGATTTTCAGTGTTAGCAATCAATATCGGAACGCAATCATAAATACTGAAAACTTCCCGTTTTCATTCTTTCCTAATACTGTCATTATCCGCTGCGAATATTCGCAGCGAAATTCCATAGAAGGTGTTACCCCGGACATAGGAACGTACTTAGAACGTACTTAGTCCATCGCAGTACGTATGAGAATATTCTGAGATGGTATACGCATTGCGATCTTCTCAGAACATACTCAAAACGTACAACGTGCTGTTAGGGTTAAAATGTAAGTATATTTAAATGACTCAGTATATGTGATGTTACTATAATGCACATTATAAAACTTAAAATTAATTCTCTCTTTTATATATTTAACAAACTTCTGTTTTTTTAAATTAATTATAATATAATTATAATATATTAAATAATAATAGAAAAAAATGTGTCTATTTATAGAATTCAAAAATGGTTGGAATTCATTGGTGTAAAGAATGTTTGCAATTACCAAAGAATATATTCGGAGAAGATCGTTTCGAAGAAAAGTTTTTAAAAAAAATATATCCACGACGTCTTTTATGAAGTGATACTATACCAACAATTACTACAAACAACATCTGAAAACACGTTGGGAGAAGATGCGATGTCTAACATTTGTAAGATAACAATATTTATAAAATTAAAATATTATATAAACATGCAAATTTACAAAACATATAAATAAATTTTTCTATTTTAGATGATAGATTAGAATAACAGCAGTCACTAAATGAAGCTATAGAGGCAAATGATAAAATTGAAACATTAGTCGATATATTAATGACACCTAATATGATTCAAATTACAAGTTTAAAATCTGCAGCTAAGTCTGCTATAAATGTTTAATAGCAAAAAGACAGCAAATTGCACATAAAATTTGTAATATCTGATAATGTCGGCAAATTGTCGTCAAAAATATTATAAAGCCTGCTGACATGCAATGCCAGCAAATTGTCCAGCAATTGTCACATGCTTCATGCTCGGTTTTTGCCGAGATCTTGCTCGGTTTTTGCTAATTTACTAGCACAGCATGTCAACTAGTTTTATCGACAAAATCCAAACTTAATACAGACACAGATTGCTATACATTTGTAGTCAAAATCTGCTTGAATTTGATACCAATCCGTCAGCATATTGCATATCTCAGAGAATATAGTTGGGCCGTATCTATCTTTAAAATTAATTATGCATATCTTAATATATCTTAGAAATGAGCTAAACAGTTATTTTTTAATTTTTTAATAAGTTTATTTACAATAACTATTATTTATTAAAAAATAACTATTATTTAAACTACAAGAGTTATTTCAAAAGTAATGTATAATTTTTTTAAATCAATTTCTATTCTATATCTTTATTATCATACATAATGCATAACAGCATCCTTCTTTTTAAAAATTATGTTTATTCTTTTGCCGCAAGTGATATAGTTGAATCACTTTTTTTTTTAAATAACGTGTTTTTGATGTCTATCAAAAACAACGTGTTTGTTATTGAATTCCTAATGTGTGAGAATGACGCAGTGAAAAATTCATACAAAAGGCTGTAAAAAGTATACGAAAATGATATTATAGTAATGAACTTGTACAAATTTCAAATATTGAATTTCTGATTTGTTAGAATGAAATAAAAATGACGCTCATCGGAACTCAATAATAACAGCAAATTTTTTTTTAAAGATATTAAAAATAGTAATCATTTTAAAAAGATGATACGATTGCATCAGTTGTGAAAAAACAAACATAATTTTAGTAGAAGTAGCAAGATGCTAATGGATATTAGTATACGCTATATGTACGATAGAAAAAATATAAAATAAACTGAAACATAGAATTGACTTTTTCAAACTAATTGAAAAAGATATGCATTATTTTTAAAATAACTTTTGTATATAAAAATCAGGGATGTGCCGAATATCCGGCAACTATCCAGTATCCGGTCTATCCGGCTTCCTTTTACTATTCGGCCGGATAGCCGGATCGAAATTTGATATTTAAAATTGACGCCATTAGTGCGGGATTCGAGAGGCAGAATTGGAACAAAGCTAATCATTTTTTATCAGGTTGGCTCTCTTTTGTACAATCTTTTTAAAGGTTTATTTTCAATGGTGAAGTGCATTAGTGTTTTTCTAACCTACGAGAAGATATTAATAGCAAAGTGAGGGGGTTATGTCTACCTTTGGCGCGCTTAGACAATTGGTCTTATATGGTCTATTTTTTCCCTTATACTTTGATTATAAATTGAAGTTTTTGAGGTCTTGCTGGTGATTGGAGAGCTGGTAATCCTGATTTTTGTTGATGATATTTGGCGAGTGATATTTGGCGAGTGGGGCATTGTTTTATTATGTTGACGTTTACTTTTTTGTCGAAAGTGAAGGTTATGTTGTCATTTGTCTATGTATTCGCCAACTGCTACATCGCCAGGTGAGAAGTGTCTCGAGGAAGTGCTTGCACCTGTCAAGCAGGGTAAATCCTTGAATGGGAATTCGATCTACGAGTCCTCAGGATCGGCTCCGTTTATCTTGAAATCTCCTGCTCTTTTGCTTTCGAGTAACGGTATATCGCGCCCGTCCTCTCCGATTTCAACGTCGGGGGTGCCCGACAAGTATGCGGCGCCTCGCAAAGTATCCGGTGATATAACAAAGTCTGGACAAATTCATGCAGAGTAAAAAACGTCAGCTTGACGAGGAGTTGAGTGATTTGCAGAGTGGAGGTGCTCATCCCTCCAAGCGCTCTATGTCGGCAGACTCTTCAAAGAGCGTGAGTGAGGCGTGTCAGTATTATCGATTTGTCTTTCTCTCTCCTTATACATACCAGATACTCTTGACATTACAAACATAACGACTACACCCGAAATTGAGGACAGGCCGGCTTCGATAAACGAGATCACCAATTTATTCAAACAGTTGTCTTCGTAAATGACCTCCCTGGAGATTAAGCTCGGAGGGAAAATACAACAATAAAAGGAAGCGCATGAGAAGGATGTGGAAGTTATCAGGAGCCTTATCATTATTCTTGATGCAAAATACACGTCTACGGTAGACAAGCTTGAGACTAGGCTTTCGGATTGTGAAAAATTTATTGCTAATTTTCACGCGACTTTCCAACCGACTGCTTTACCTCTGACACAAGCTAGTAACTCAATCAGCCCAGCTATCTCTCTCGGGCGCTCCACACTGCCTGCCGATTATCTGCAATTGAAGAGGCTTGTTTACTCTCAAGATCGATAAGAGGAAGTGTAATATAATTGTCAGAGGACTCCAGGTGGGTGGGATTGCTCCGGGCGCGAGGACGAAGGAGTTTCTTCGCTCCTACTTTAACCTGTCTAATTGTGTTGTGAAAGCCAAGTCGCGTGGAGGCAGCGGCAAGCAATTCTGGATTCGACTTTCCTTTGAAACTTTGAGATGAAAAAACAAATTTTGAAATACGAAAAGACAAGTTCTTCAAGAAACAACGATTTTCATGATAGCAACTTGAACGCAATTGACCAATTAGCCGCCAAAACTATTCGAGGCGTGAGGAAGCGCTTTGTATCCTCTGGCGTGGCGGTGGATCTTAGATATAACTGCTTATGGATCGGAGGCATTTAATACAGACTGGACCCGCTGTCTTGCCAGTTTTCATCAGCAATTCCTGCCTTGCCTTCGGATGCATTGACGGGCATCTCGCGGATCGCTGGACGACTATGGGGATGGAGCTTGGGAATCCTACGACGACGATCGACATCACCAACCACTTGTCCCTGCAACCTACCTCCGTTACTGGCCAATCAAAAAACGGGGAACTATAAACATCGCCTTTTGAAATGTGAGAGGTATAAAAAATTTATCTGAAATGACTTGTTTAACGAATAATCATATATAGTTTACATCATCGAAAGTATGTGTAAAGACACTAATAGCATTTATGGCCTGGAGCCTTCGAAAATTATAATAAAATTATGTTGATGCGACAATTGATTCGCAGTCACTACTTGAGCGGCCGAGTGGTGGCTTGATTGTTCTTTATAGAGATATTTTTGAATGTTATATTATTAAGAAAGTTAAGTAATTTATTTTAGCAAAATTTACGCTTTTGAGAGAGAGCTTTATCATTTGTTTTGTATATTTCAGTCCATCGATAGCTCTTGCTCCATTGCTTGATGAACTTAAAGTTTTATTATTTGACATATCGCAATTGGAACCTGACATTTTAATTATTATGGGTGGACACATGAATTCAAAAGTTGGGGATGGAAATATACTCCCGGAGGATTTTGTACTTGAATCGAATTTTACGGAGAAGCGCTCTGTGAGTGACATGCAAGTTTATAAGAATGGTAAAATTTTACTTGAATTTATAAAGAATATTGACTTTTTTATCATGAATGGACGTTCTCTTTTTGATATCAATGGTAACTTCACTTATATTGGCGATTTTGGTTGTAGTACTGTTGATTTTGTCTTGGACAATTTGAGCAATATTTTATTTTTAATGACTTTTTGGAGAAGAAACTACGATCATTTACCAATTTATTGTAATTTCTTTTTAAACAATTCTTATGAAAATTGCATCAGTCAGACTCAAACTTCAGTGAGTAAAAAATATTTATGGGACGATGGCAAAAAAAAACAGAATTTATTGCATTCTTAGTTGCTTCCCCTCGTCTCTCTATTGACTTTGACTCAACCTCTCTCGATGCTTTAAATTTGTTGGAGGCATTGAGGGAGGCGGTTGGATATGCTGATTTTAGATCATGTGTTGCTTTTAGGTTTAGGTGTAGTGACACCACTGGGAGACCGGATTTCTTGTGAATGTGATTGTGAATGTTTATTATCTAAAAGAAGAGTTAATAAAGCTTTAAAGGATGTTAGTGTCGGTCCACAATAAGTATTTAATCTTTAAGCCGTAAGAAATTGACTAATCATAGTCGAGTATTCTTTTCATATTTGATTACAATTGGTCAATTTCTTACTTCTTAAAGCTTAAATCACCTATTGTGGACCGACACTTATAAAGAACAAGTTTGTTGAACTTTTTAAAAGTGACTATCTCTCATAACAAAAGTTACATACTCAATTAATAGCTGAAAAAGAGAAGACCTAAAAAAGACACTCAAAATAAATTTGCAAATGTAGGAGACTGCGGTTTTTTGGAGTGTTATTCGCTTATACAGGGGCAAGGGGATGCGGGATGTCACTGGTATTTCAATCTATGATTAGAGAGATTTCTACATTGAGATTTTTCCTCCTCGTGCTCTCCCTCTTTTACCTCACCTGGCAAACAATGTCCCTTCACTTGACGGTCCAATCACAATGGCTGAGCTAAATAACTGTTTAATTCATCTGAAAAATGGTAAAGCATCCGGAGAGGATGGCATTACAAATTTTACTCTGCATTTCCTCAAATATGATGTGAGTATTTATTAAAGCTTTTTAACAAAATTCTCAACTCGGGCACAGTACCTTGTGATTGGTCCAGTGTTATAATGCGTATGCTGTTTAAAAAGGGAAACAGAAAAGATCCTGCCAATTATAGAAGGATTGCACTCGTTAACTACGTTGTTAAGATCTTTACACAGATTTTGGCGAGTCGTTTAAGTGGGCTGAAGATAAATTAATATCGAAGGAGCAATCTAGCTTTAGAGCGGGACATGGTTGTTTTGACAATATTTTCACCTTAGACTCGGCCATTCAACTGCAACTGAGATTTCCCAGTCATATAGTGTATGCGTTTTTTATTGACTTTAAAAGAGCGTTTGACTCCATCGGTCACACGTGTCTCTGGGATAAACTTGGGCGATTGGGAATTAGTGTAAAGTTTATTAATGCGATCAAGAACTTATATGATAAAGCCTTTCTTAGAGTCATTACTTTGCAGGGATTAACTGATCAAATTGAAATCACTGAGGGTGTGTGCAGGGGGAAGTTTTGAGTCCTTTAATTTTCAACTTACTTATTTCAGATATTGTTGATTATTTTTCTGATAATAGTTTGAATGGTATTCCTATTGACAATTCAAATGATTTAAGATTATTGTTATATGCTGATGATCTAATCTTACTTGCTTCTTCTAAATGTCAATTGAATAGGATAATTTCAGTTCTTGATAAGTATGCAACTGATAATGGGTTAAATGTTAACATTCAAAAATCGAAAATTGTGGTCTTTCGCAACGGCAGGAAATTGTCGTGGTCCAAATGTGGTGGTTTTAAGTATCAAGGAGAAACCATCGAAATTGTGTCGTCTTATATTTATTTTGGAATTCCATTCTCTTCTTCTTCACTTGACTGTGTTGCGGCGAGAGAGGCGCTTTTAACGAAGTTATTTCAATGGTAAGAAGAATAAGGATTAATTCATGGGAAGGCATTATGACAATCTATCAAAGCTCAGTTAAGACAGTTCTTTTATATGCATCGGCTAATTGGGAATTAAATTATTTTTAATTATTCATTCACTTATTCTTTGAATCCTTGAATCCTCAATTGAATTTTTTTTAAACGTTTATTTAGACTAGTTCCCAACACTCAAAATGCCTTGCACCTCGAACTTAATGTTACTCAATTAGTCTTTGATGTAGTTAAATATGCGCTAAAATGGATTTTTAAATTGTTAAGAATGAATCCATCGAGGCTTCCAAGGATCTACTTTGACCGCTTGTTGGAGTTGTCTGAGAGAAACAAGATTGACAGTAAATTGAACTGGGTTGCTTGACTGAAAGAAATATTGGCTCCTTTGAGTTGTGCATTTGTGTGGCACGATTTAAACCCGGTAAACTTCACATTTAATATGTTAGAATGTCTCGAACGCTATAAGTTTTTCCTTAGACAGACTGATGAAGATGCCTATATGTCATCCTCATCTTGTCTTTTTACTTTCAACTCTCTGCTGCATGAGCCAAGTCTTACAGTTCAAACAAAAAACACTTTGTTTTTATTCGATCCATTCTTGCAAATAAGAACTGCGAATATCTATCGATCCTCTATCACTATTGATGGTCGATACTATAAATTTAGCGAGAATGATTGCTGTTTTCTTTGCGGATTCACTGCGTCTGACATTATTATTCATTTTCTGTTTAGCTGTCCTGTATTGGATTCACTAAGACTGAAATATCATAGATTTATCTTAACTGAAGCCAAAAATGTAAATACAGCAGCTATAGTATTTTTATATATATAATTATTATATATGTAATATATTATTATTTGACGATTTTAACAAACCTAATTTATTCGATCTATTTATTTTTATCCAAAGCTCTAAAACTGCGAACTGGAATAGCTATTGCATCTTATACGTTTATATTTTGCGAATCTTGTTAACTAATTGTACGCGATTAATTTTATAAATTCTAAAATTTAAGGCGATGTACTGTATATTAGGTTTTGAGTATTTGTGTGGTATGTATCTTTGTATAAGCAAACCTTTTATTTATTTATCTTGTAATATTATCTATTTTATACGCATTGTAAACATATCTCCCCTTGCAAAAGGATGTATCATTTTAAGCTAAATCTTTATTAATAGCAAAGTGATTAGAGAAAATTATTGATAAATTCATCTTCCAGTAGTGTAGACCTGAAGAGTATATCGTTCATTTTATTGTTGCATTCAATTATAAAATATAATGGCACAAGGAAAATCCAACGTATGGAAATTTTTAAAAATATGTAGTAATGATGAAAAAAAAGCAGAATGTTCACTTTGCGATTTCGTCGCAAAAAAAAATTATGAGAGGAAAAACGCTTAAATTATTCACTATAAAACCTTAATCTTGAAAAGTAAACATCTATTGGCAATAGAAAACATGGATGGAAATACAAATATCAACGAAACTGAATGTGATTCACCAAGTTCTCATCAATCTCAAAATCAAAATCTTATCAGCCTACTTTACAATCTTTAATTAAGAAAAAAGAAATAGTCTTTGGATGATCCAAAAACTATGAACATAATCAAAAAGATCTGTGCGTATTTTTTATTTTTATATATATTTAAGAGAAACGCTATATATTTTATAATATTGTAGCGATTACATCGTTGCATGCATTGTCATTCGAATCAGCTCATTAGAGTAGATATGAGCGATATTCTCGGGTTTTAATTTCTTTCCGTTTTTATCATACATTTTACCGTTGTATTAATTATTATTACCTTTGTAATGTTTCTAACGCTATTTTTTCTTTGTAATATAATTTAAACGTTTAACGACTCGAGACAAGTAACAATAACAAATAAGTACTCCTTCAATATGGATTATTAATAAAAACTTGTTATTAGAACTTTAGATACTTTGTTTGTCAGAAGTAAGCTATTGTTTGTCAAAAAGAAAGATCTCGAAGAAGAAGGCGAGCTTCGAAATAACGAATAGATAGAGAAAGATTCGACTGATGGACACCGACACGAACGGACGTGTAGTCTCAAAGGAAAATAAAAAAAACACTTTATAAAAATTCGGATTCGATTCCTTCCAACACCTTAGTATATCCGATCCACACGCAATAAACTCCAAAATATTATTATGAATAAATATTAAATAATTAAATATTTATGCTAATTTGTCAATAACTTCATTGTCAAGTTATGTCTAATATTGTTCCTAATAAACAAACGTTCATATTATAATAATAAATTAGTTATAAAGTTTAAAATTCTCAACTGTTTATTTTTGTTATATTTTAGGCGAAATGATGACTTTTGATGCTGAACCATTCACTTGTTGAGCGAAAAGACTTTTAAAGATTAATAAAATATTTGGCATCGCAGTATCCTTTACCTTGTAGAACATATTTTTCTGAAAAAATTATGCCACGTCTGTATGAAAATTTGAAAACATATGTTAAAGAAAAATTAATTACTACGATAAACATTTTTCACCGATATTTGGACTAGTCCAGCAAACGAATCATTTATAAGCCTGACAGCTCATTTCATACGAAGTGATGATATGCAAAGAGAAATACTTGTACTCAGCGCGAAATACTTTTCTGATAGTCATACTGGTTTCAATATCAGTCAGCTATTAAATGATGTGATGGAAGAATGGCATATAAATTCTAGCCAAATTCATCTAATTTTAAGGGATAATGCTTGTAACATGATTATAGGAACTGGTGTGTATTTTTAAATAATTTTACAAATATATAGTATTCGTTTTGCAAAAATGTAACCATGATACCGTTGATTCATTGATTTAAAATTATCAATATTGTATATTTTATCTTACAGATATATTAGAAGAGAGTGTAGGATGTTTTATTCACACTTTACAACTCGTGATTCACGATTGTATTTTTAAAAATCGAAATTTCATTGAAATTTTGAGAAAATGTCGAAAAATTGTTAGACATTTTTAGCTATTCTTCACTCGCCTGCTCGAAACTTAGAAACATACAAGAAAATTTGAAATTGCCAATTCATAAGTTAATCCAAGATGTTACTACACGATGGAACTCTACATTTTATATATTGTCAAGGCTTCATGAACAAAGCGGTAACTGCATATGCTGCAAAGAAGAACATACCAAAGAAGAACATACCTTACGGCTGTGCAATGGAATATGGTAGAAAACGTTATACGTGTTCTCCAATCGTTCGAAGAAATACTAAAGATTAAAATAGCTAGTTTAGATTGTGAGACAATGGGATATG